TAAGTCAGACCTGTTTCCAGTGCGCGTTGGCCTCCACCAGGGCTACCCTTTGTCACCGGTTCTGTTCATTATTTTTATGGACAGAATTTTTCGGCGCAGCCAGGGGGAGGAAGGGGTTCGGTTTGGGAACCACAAAATTTCATCTCTGCTGTTTGCAGATGATGTTGTTCTGTTGGCTTCATCAAACCAGAACCTTCAGCGTGCACTGGGGCGGTTTGCAGCCAAGTGTGAGGCGAGCGGGATGAGGATCAGCACCTCCAAATCTGAGGCCATGGTTCTTGACCGGAAAAAGGTGGCTTGCCCTCTCAGGGTCGGTGGAGACTCCTTGCCTCAAGTGGAGGAGTTCAAGTATCTCGGGGTCTTGTTCACGAGTGAGGGGCGGATGGAACGTGAGATTGACAGACGGATTGGTGCAGCGTCTGCAGTATTGTCGTCGCTGTACCGGACCATCGTGGTGAAGAGAGAGCTGAGCAAGGGAGCAAAGCTCTCGATTTACCGGTCAATCTACGTCCCAACCCAGCTGACTCAGGGCAAAGGCAGGGGACACCCTGGACAGGTTGACAATTTAGAATCACCAGTTAACCTCAACATGTTTTTGGACTGTGTGGGAGGAAGCCGGAGAACCCGGAATGAACCTAGCTACACGGGGAGAACATGTAAACTCCATACAGAAAGATCCTGGATGTCCTCACCGGGACGTGGACCAGCAACCTTCTAGTTGTGAGACAACAATGCTAACCACTGAGTCACCTTGCAGCCCCTCTAATGAATATGTTGCGGCCCGGTGGCCGAAGGACGTGAGTTTAGACCCAAAAAGAGATCAAGACAGGTTAAAGGAAAAACAGATTTATTTGAGGGAATCCGGGGGTGAGAGACACCAGGAGGAAGGTGAGGGATCCGGGGCGGGTGCCCAGGATTCAGCCAAGGGAAGAGGGTGATTTTCCATGCAGGTGCTCATGGAGGGGACAGTCCAAATCGTGTTCTGCGGAGTGAAAGCTGATGTGGACGACCAAACGTCTGGACGCTTAGGCTGGTGGAGGGTTAGGGTACGTCCTCCTCCAACCAGCCCTCCCCAGCCTGAAAGAAACAGCACAGCCAGCCGAAAACACAGACAACAACAGAAATCCAGAACTACAAAATAAAATAAGTCCATAATCACCTCAAAATACTTAAAAATGTGTATTTATCTGTTCGTTGTGTTCTGTAGAATTGGTTTACAGAGTGAGACTAATANGCCCGAATGATCCTAGAAGCTATGTTGCCCGGGGCTTCATGCCCCTGGTAGGGTCACCCATGGCAAATAGGTTCTAGGTGACGGGACAGACAAAGGGCAGTTCTCGTATGCAAGCGCCTGGTGGTCGGGCCTTTGCCCACAGGGCCCGGCCGGGCTCAGCCCGAAAGGACGACATGGGCCCGCCCTCCTGTGGACTCACCACCCGCAGAGGGAGTCATAGGGGTCGGGTGCAGAGAGGATTAGGTGGCGGTCAAGGGGGGTTGCCTCGACGGCCTGGTCCGCATACACAGCCTCTGGTTGTTGGGACGTGGAACGTCACCTCGCTGGGAGGGAAGGAGCCTGAGCTTGTGCAGGAGGTTGAGCGATATCGGCTAGATATAGTCGGCCTCACCTCCACGCACAGCCTGGGCTTGGGAACCCAACTCCTAGAGAGAGGCTGGACGCTCCATTTCTCTGGTGTTGCCCGCGGGGAGAGACGGCGGGCTGGAGTGGGCCTGCTCATTGCCCCCCAGCTTATCCGCCATGTGTTGGAGTTCACCCCAGTGAACGAGAGGGTCGCGTCCCTACGCCTTCGGGTTGGGGACAGGTCTCTCACTGTTGTCTTGGCCTACGGGCCCAACAGCAGTGCAGAGTACCCGGCCTTCTTGGAGTCCCTGGGAGGGGTATTAGGTAGTGCCCCGACTGGGGACTCCTTTGTTCTACTGGGGGACTTCAACACCCACGTGGGCAGCGACAGTGAGACTTGGAGAGGGATGATCGGGAGGAACGGCCTGCCTGATCTGAACCCTAGTCGTGTTCTGTTGTTGGACTTCTGTGCTAGTCACAGTTTGTCCATCACGAACACCATGTTCGAGCACAAGGGTGTCCACATGTGCATGTGGCACCAGGACACCCTAGGCCGGAGGTCGATGATTGACTTTGTAGTTGTATCATCAGACCTCCGGCCACGTGTTTCGGACACTCGGATAAAGAGAGGGGCCGAGCTGTCCACCGATTACCACCTGGTGGTGAGTTGGATCCGCTGGCAGGGGAAGAAGCTGGCCAGACCTGTCAGGCCTAAGCGCATCGTGAGGGTCTGTTGGGAACGGCTGGCGGAACCCTCTGTCAGCAGGGTCTTCAACTCCCACCTCCAGGAGAGCTTCTCCCAGATCCCAAGGGAGGCTGGAGAAATGGAGGCTGAGTGGTCCATGTTCTCCTCCTCCATCGTCATTGTGGCCACTCGTAGTTGTGGTCTTAAGGTCTCTGGTGCCCCGAACCCGGTGCTGCTGAAGAAGGAGTCTTACCTGTCATTTTTGGCTTGTGGGACTCCTGAGGCAGCTGACAGGTACCTGCAGGCCAAGCGTGTGGCAGCTCGAGCGGTCGCAGAGGCAAAAACTCGGGTCTGGGAGGAGTTCGGGGAGGCCATGGAGGAGGACTATTGGTCGGCCTCGAAGAAATTCTGGCAAACCGTCCGGCGCTTCAGGAGGGGAAACCAGCTCTCCACCAACACTGTTTACAGTGCAGGTGGGGACCTCCTGACCTCGACTGGGGAGGTCGTTGGGCGGTGGAAGGAATACTTCGAGGGTCTCCTCAATCCCGCCGTCACGTCTTCAGAAGAGGAAGCAGAGACTGTGGACTCTGAGGCGGACTCATCCATCACCCGGGCGGAAGTCTCGGAGGTGGTTAGAAAGCTCCTTGGTGGCAGAGCTCCGGGGGTGGATGAGATCCGTCCTGAATACCTCAAGTCTCTGGATGTTGTGGAACTGTCCTGGTTGACACGTCTCTGCAACATCGCGTGGCGGTCGGGGACAGTGTCTCTGGATTGGCAGACCGGGGTGGTGGTCCCTCTGTTTAAGAAGGGGGACCGGAGGGTGTGTTCCAACTACAGAGGGATCACACTCCTCAGCCTCCCCGGCAAGGTCTANGGTTGTCATCAAGGACACTCTTGTGAAGTGCAGTCAGTATGCTGTTATTTGCACTCCATAGGTAGACATGAGCAAGCATTCTGGGCATCAGCCAAAGCATGTGTGACATAAACAAGAGTGAGTGTGATGACCAGTATTATATTGATAGATGAGGTAACCAAGGTTACACTGTTATTATAGCTTGATTATGAACTTTATTTGAGACTACAGACTGTATTTGACTCTTCAGTGTATGTGGTGACATACTACCCATGTGCTGTGGTGGTGACAGTCTTTTTCAGAAATACAGACTCTATCAACTTCTCTTCACCACACCCAGAGGGGAGCTTCTGGCAGGCATGGAGGTGAGGCAGCCAGTGACTGTTGTGCTTGTATGTATGTATCTATAAGTCCAAGCGATCATTTTAACATGCTGTGTTTCAGAGGACCACAGAGGTGTTCTGTTGTCAGGATCCTCTCACCCCATTGGAGCATGGCATTTCCACCCACCTTTACTTTCAGTAATTTCCCTACCTGCTATTCAGATAAATTAGGTGATGAAACATGGATGAATAAATATGGGCTGTGATGTGTGCTTGTTTAATTGTTTACTGGAACATTGTTTGTGTGGATCGAAGCTGTATATAGCCCGTCCATAGGTCTACACATCTGTACTGACTGTTTGTGTACCAATCACGTAATTAATTTCATTAGACTGCCTAATTACACATCAACCAGTTCATTGTTTAATATAAACTAAGCTAACATTTGGAGTTTCTATGGATCCAGTGGTATGAGGCAAAAACAGTGAGAAAGTTAGACATGTTTGGATGTTCCTTCACAATAAATGGATTGCTTGTTTACAAAAAATAATACAACTCTCATCTGAATTCTACAGCTTGGCTTCATATCCAACTCATCTTGAGCAATCCTCTAGGTCAGCGGTTTCCAACCTTTTTTGCACCACATACCGGTTTCAAGCAAGACAATTTTCTACGTCAATGCGCACATAAAGAATAGTTTTTCTATTTAAAAAAAATGTCATAAACAAATAAAATTATTTTTCATTGCTAAATATGTTTAATTTTTCTTCTGTCTCAGCATCGAGTCGCTCCCTTTTTTCAAAAAAGCTCTCCAGAGACGTCAGTTTATTTATTCATTTTGACAGCAGTTTGACTGACGGCTCCATTTAGTGGCCAGATATGAAAACTGACAGTCAAGTGACAGGAAACAAGCGCAGGCGAAAGTGACGGGAAGACGGGCTGGTCATTTATTTTTTTTATTCGTTGTGTGTGGCCCGGTACCTAAAGACCCATGGCCCTGTATGGGCCTGCAGCCTGATGGTTGGGGACTGCTGATCTAGGTCACCTTTGTGTTCGTAATAAAACCATATAGCACCTCAACATTCTGCTTATGTAGCTCTGAAACTGCTTTATAATTGAAAGTATTTTTACAGCATAAATAACAATAACACAGGGAAAAATCCCTTACAACTAAAGAGAAACCAATATTTAACAATAAAAGAATATTTGTCAGTGAAGTAATGTTGCTTTCTAATGAAGCTGTTACGGGCAGGGCGAGAGCAACGAAGACACAGTAGACTGAATCAGTTTATTTTACAAAAATGAGAATCCAAACAATACAATATCAAAAGGCTCAACCAGGACCAGGTAATATCTGGCTAGGAAGAAAACTCACAGAATAATCGAACTAACTCAGAGCTCAACTAGGTGCTGAGAAACTGGCAGGCTGATAAACCAAACGCTAACAGAAGGTGCTCAGACTAAAGTGCTGAGAAAACGGACTGGCCAACAGAAAAAGCTAACAAAGGTAGCAAACAGGAACTCACTGACGGGCTACAACAACAGAGCTAATAAAAAGCACACTGACAAGGCACAAAAACCACAACAAATCTATGACGAGCTAAGAAACACTAGATTACGTTAAATGCAAAAAACTACTGACAGAGAGGTAACAGGCTTAACTGGCTCAATACGGGGAGAGTGCGGGAAAGCAACAGCTGGCAACAGAGAGAACCGGAGGACGGCTGAACCATGAGTGAGGGCAGACAGGTGCGGTGCGGAGTCCGGTTGCAGATCGGTGGTGGTGAGGTGGGAGATGGTCGGTGAATGGTGAAGTGTTGAATGTGGTAGCGGTCGGCGGCAGATCCAGCTGGGTAGAGGGAAAACAGGAGTTAGTACCAGTTGAGCAGAAAATGGCTAGACGAATGCAAAACTATGACTGACTGCATGGTACGACGGTCTGGTGTCTGACCATGGACCGACCACGGCTGAAATCCTGGTTGACTGAAAGGTTGCAGCTGGAACGGACCAATCCTGCAGCGCCAATCTGCTGATATAGTGATCTGGTACACCTGTCTGCATGTTCCGCCGCCAGCCGTACTGAGAGCCAAAGAGAGGGACGAAAAAAGGATCCAGCTGCCACAAGCCGGCACCAGGAGTCGAGGGCATGACAGAAGCAGTAGGGAATTCTCAGTTAGGACCCACAACGAGATAACTATTATTTCATTCAATAGAAATATGAAAGAAAATTTTTTTTTTCATTTACCTAAAAAAATACAATATAATATAACTTAAGTGAGTACACCCCAGTTCAAACTGTATCACCTCTCAATAATTACATTCTTTCAAAGCTGATCAGTAGAGCATTTCTGTCACAGATTGGACTCTGAGACTTAATCGCAGACAAAGACACGGTAGACAGGCTCTTAAAGAATAGTTCATTTACAAAAATTGTGTTACAAACAGGAAGCAGAAACTGGGTCAAGAAGTTCAGGTTGAACAAGCGCTTGATTATTTAGAGCCCTCTAGAGGGCAGGCGGAATAATAACACAATAGACAAAATGCAATTAATACTTACCAGCTAGCTGAACCAGAACAGAGACCCGAGCTTGGTACTACCAAGACAGGAATGGAAATATAGAACTATACAAAATACTAACCTAAAACAGGAATTAATACATTTATGGAGTACAGTGACATTATGGACCCAACTAGGAGCGGGGAGCTTACAGACAGTGGATATCGGGGAGGGGAGGAATGCCGGTGTTGTGGTGTCGAGTCAATTTTATTTGTATAGTGCAGTTAACAACATATGTCATCACACAGCGCTTAACATAGTAAGGTATAGACCTTAAAAATGTACACCGAGAACCCAACAATCCAAAGTTGACTTTGGACCCCCTCTGAGCAAGCAGTTGGCAATGGTGGGAAGGAGTGAGTGAAGTCCTGGCAGATACAACAACAGGAGGGAGACACCAACGCAGGTTGAGGATTGGAGCCAGAGGGATGATGTGGCGAACCAGAGGGATGGACCAGGTTTGTTCAGAGTGACGGAGTGAGTCCAGGAGCTGAACAGAAACACAAATTAGTAAAAGGACAACAGGTTTGGAGCAGACAGAGCCAGGGAAACTAACAAGGAGTTGTTTACGGTCCAGTGATCTGAGGTGAGCTTATATGGAGCCAGGTGAATTGTTGAACACGTGGACCATGCCTCCGTCGCAGCTGAACGTGATCGGGTAATTAATAAATTCACTGCACCTGCCTGGAGCTTCACACACCACAACGACTTACCTAACAGAGGAGAGGGAGAAAACAGGGAAAAGGGAAGAAGAGGGAGAGGGAGCTGACTGCCACTATCC